CGGCCCGTCGCCACCAGCACATCGTCAATGAGCAAGAACCACGTCTTGAACAACTTGCGACGGAAGGTTCGGAAGCCAAACCTGCTGAAGTCCTCAGGTCCATTCGTCGGACCGAACCCCAACGATCGCGGCAAATGCTTGCCGGACAAACTCACCACGGCGAGGACGCGATGGGCGAAAAGGGAGTTCTCGATCTGATTGAACCCGGAGACTCCATCACCCGTGCTATACCATTTCTTGCCAGCCGAAGCGCGTTTCACGGAAACAGAGTCCGGCATGACAAAGGTCGCACGCACGGTGACCTGGTTCACGCGCCGGCAATCTATCACCATGCGCGGCTTCCTGCTCGCGCTAGGATAGACGCGGAAAGCAGGCGATCCCCAGTTACTTTCACCACTGACGTAGTGTCCTCGGCGATACGCCTTAGCGATCTCGGCTTCCAACCATTCCGCATGCTCGCCTCCTCGAATGAGCGGCGCTTGCGAAACCGGCTCGCCCTTCGTAACCATATCATGCAGGAAACCCCGCACCATGGTCTGAGGCGTGTCCTTAATCCACAACGCTTCGCTTTTCTCGAAAATCACGCGCCCGATAGCGCGGATCTCTTCATCACGAAGGTCGGGATACTCGGCCCTGTGCTCCTCCGTGACCTGAGAGCCCGGAGGTGGGAGCTTCATCCCTTCGGCACACTTCGTCGCGTAGTCAGCGCTACGGCGGACGTTGCCGGGAGGCTGCCCCTCCATCGGGACGAAACACCCGTCAGGCATATGGACCTCGGTAAACTGCCGCTTTTGGGCAAGGGATCGCCACTTCGCAGCGGCTGCCTCACTATAGCGCATGCGTCGATGTCCAGCGAGGGACATAATATGGCACCTTGGATACCGGACATGCCCACGCTCCGGCCAAGGTGCTGTCCTGGTCGAGCACTGGCTCCGACCCGTCAGCGTCAGGGTCGATGACCTCCTGAGGCACTACCATAGGCGAGGCGCCCAAAGAGTAACCTCCATGCTCAACCGCGGAAAGGTCCGCGTAGCGAAGAGTGCCGTTCGGCCCCATCGACACCTCCCTGAAGAGGCTCTTTTTGGACACTGTCTCAGCGGGGAGGCTCCCCGGAGACCACCGGACTCGCGTACATAGAGCTCCAAACTCCAGCATACGGCACAATCACCATAGCCTTAGATTCTCGTAGGTTCTGCGTGACGCGCCCCACGATGAGCTCCTTCTT